GCACTTTAGTCTTCATGGTGACATCTTCGCTTTCAAATACTTTAAAGAGGCCTTTTGCAGCAGATTTGCCCAGTATAATACATCTTTTGATTTCCTGACTGCTGCTTCCATGGGTGTTGATTGTGGATCCAAGTAAAATGAAACCCTTGACAACTCCAATCTTTTCTCCACCTATCATGATGTTGCTTATTGGTCTGGTTGTGAGGATTTTTGTTTTCTTTATGTTGAGGTGTAAGCCATACTGAAGGCTGTGGTCTTCGATCTTCAGCAGTAAGTGCTTCAAGTCCTCTTCACTTTCAGCAAGCAAGGTTGTCTCATCTGCATATCGCATGCTGTTAATGAGTTTTCCTCCAATCCTGATGCTACGTTCTTCTTCGTATAGTCCAGCTTCTCGGAGTATTTACTCAGCATACAGGTTGAATAGGTCTGGTGAAAGGATACAACGCTGATGCACAGCTTTCCAGACTTTAAACCACGCAGTATTTCCTTGTTCTGTTCAAATGACTGCCTCTTGATCTATGTACAGGTTCCTCATAAGCACAATTAAGTGTTCTGGAATTCCCATTGTTTGCAACGTTATCCATAATTTGTTATGATCCACACAGTCAAATGTCTCTGCATTGTCAATAAAACACAGGTAAACATCTTTCTGGTATTCTCTGCTTTTAGCCAGGATCCATCTGACATCAGCAATGATATCCCTGGTTCCACATCCTCTTCTGAATCTGGCCTGAATTTCTGGCAGTTCCCTGTTGATATACTGCTACAGCTGCTTTTGAATGATCTTCAGCAAAATTTTACTTGCGTGTGATATTAATGATATTGTTCGATAATTTCTGCATTCCGTTGGATCACCTTTCTTGGGAAAAGGCTTAAATATGGATCTCTTCCAGTCGGTTGGCCAGGCAGCTGTCTTCCAAATTTCTTGGCATAGGCGAGTGAGCCCTTCCAGCCCTGCATTCATTTGTTGAAACATCTCAGTTGATGTTCCGTCAGTTCCTGGAGCCTTGTTTTTCGCCAATGCCTTCAGCGCAGCTTGGACTTCTTCCTTCAGTACCAACGGTTCCTGATCATGTGCTACCTCCTGAGATGGTTGAACGTGGACCAATTATTTTTATTATAATGACTCTGTGTATTCCTTCCATCTTCTTTTGATGCTTCCTTGTCGTTTAATATTTTCCCTGCAGAATCCTTTACTATTGCAACTTGAGGCTCAAATTATTTCTTCAGTTCCTTCAGCTTGAGAAATGCTGAGTGTGTTCTTCCCTTTTGATTTTCTATCTCTAGCTCTATGCACATGTCATTATAATACACTTTACTTTGTTTTCTCAAGCTGCCCTTTGAAATCTTCTGTTCAGCTCTTTGACTTCATCATTTCTACCATCTGCTTTAGCTATTCTACGTTCAAGAGCAAGTTTCAGACTCTCCTCTGACATCCATTTTGGTTTTTTCTTTCTTTTCTGTCTTTTTAATGACCTCTTGCTTTCTTCATGTATGATGTCCTTGATGTCTTTCCACAACTCATCTGGGTCGTCTTTGGTCATTAGCGTTCAACGCATCAAATCTATTCTTGAGATGGTCTCTAAATTCAGGTGAGGTATATTCAAGGTCGTACTTTGGCTCTCGTGAACTTGTTCTAATTTTCTTCAGTTTCAACTTGAACTTGCATATGAGCAACTGATGGTCTGTTCCACAGTCGGCCGCTGGCCTTGTTCTGACTGATGATATTCAGCTTTTCCATCGTGTCTTTCCCACAGATGTAGCTGATTTGATTTCTGTGTATTCTGTCTGGTGAGGTCCATGTGTACAGTCGCCACTTCTGTTGGTGAAAAAAGGTATTTACAATGAAGAAGTCATCGGTCTTGCAAAATTCTATCATGCGATCTTCGGCATCGTTTCTGTCACCGAGGCCATAATTTCCAACTACCGATCCTTCTCTGTTTTCAACTTTCACGTTCCAATCGCCAGTAATTATCAATGTATACTGAGTGCATGTTCAATCAATTTCAGACTGCAGAAGCTGGTAAAAATCTTCAACTTCTTCATCTTTGGCCATAGTTGTTGTTGTATAAATTTGAATAACAGTCGTACTAACTGGTCTTCCTTTGGTCGTATGGATATTATCCTCTCACTGACAGCACTGTACTTCAGGCTAGATCTTGAAATGTTCTTTTTGACAATGAATGCAATGCCATTCCTTTTCAGTTTGTCATTCCTGGCATAGTGGACCGTATGATCGTCCGATTTAAAATGGCCAATACCAGTCCATTTCAGTTCACTAATGCCTAGGATACCGATGTTTATGCGTTCCATTTCATTTTTGATGATTTCCAATTTTCCTAGATTCATACTTCAGACATTCCACGTTCCTATTATTAATGGATGTTTGCAGCTGTTTCTTCCCATTTTGAGTCGTGCCACATCGGCAAATGAAGGTCCCGAAAGCTTGACTCCATCCATGTCAT